TCACAAAGGCTAGAAGGGAAAAAATGTGAGCAAACTATTGTAAAGTTCTTATACTGTATGTGATGTGAAATAATATTTCTTGAAGGTAAATTTGGTTAAGTTAAATATATATACTATAAGCCCTAAAGCAACCACTGAAATAACACAACGAAGAGTTGTAGTGAATAAGCCAGCAAAGGAGATGAAATGAAAGTGTGAATGTGCACACACACATACACATGCACACAAATTAATCCAAAAGAAGGACAATAAAGAAAAAGAGGACATATGGGAGAAATAGAAAACAAATAGCATGATGGCATATTTAAACACAACTACACCAATGCTTACATTAAATGTAAGTGGTCTTAACATGCTAATTAAAAGTAGACATTATCTGATTAAATGAAAACTTAAGACCCAGCTATATGCTGGCTACAAGAAATCTACTTTAAATATAAAAATTTCAAAGCCACTATGAAAAATTATATGGAGATTCTTCAAAAAAATTAAAAATAGAGCTGCCATACAACTCAGAAATTCCACTTCTAGGTATTTATCCAAAGAAAACAAAAACACTAATTAAAAAGATATATACACCCCTATGTCCAGTCAGCATTACTTATAATAGCCAAGATATGGAAGCAACCGAAATGTCCATCAATAGATGAATGCATAAAGAAGATGTGATATATATGTGTATATATTAGAATATTATTAAAAAACAAAAAAAAAAGAATAAAATCTTGACGTTTGTAAAAACATGGATGGACCTACAGGGTTTTATGGTAAGTAAAATAAGTCAAATAGAGAAAGACAAATACCATATGATTTCACTTATGCATGGAATCTAAAAATAAAAAACAACAACAATAAATGAATAAACCAAAATGAAAAAGAAAACCCAGAAACAAACACATAGATATAGAGAACAAGTTGATGGAGGTAAGGAGATAGGTGAGAAAGAAAGGAAGGAAGGAAGGAAGGAAGGAAGGAAGGAAGGAAGGAAGGAAGGAAGGAAGGAAGGAAGGAAGGAAGGAAGGAAGGAAGGAAAGAAAAATAGATTTCAGAGTAAAGATAATAGCCAAGTACAAAAGGGATCATAAAAACAAAGAGATTGCTTCATCTAAAGAACATAATGTTTATGTATCATACTACAGTAGACTTATTTATTGGGTATGCAAAAAAAAAATAAAACTAATAAAGTGAACAATATTAAGAGAAATTTCCAACAACTACATAGTTAATTTGACTTTTAAAAACTTGCTCTCAATGGCAAAAAAAAAAAAAAATTATAAAATTAGTTGCCTGAAATCAAAAATAAATGTCAAAAAAAGTTGTAACGATTTTTTAACAGAATTTGAGTTTGTACTTTTGCCAGCTCTAAAACAGCTTGGATTCTTTCTCCAAAAAGAAAAACAATTTAGAAGGAAAGATGACAAAAATGAATATTTCAGTAATGGAAAATTGTTAGAAAATTATGAGAAAATGCTATAAAAAATATTTTACAAAAAGTGAAAGATTTTTCAATTAAGCCTTGTAACAATAGCCTTTGAAACAAGGCCTTTTTAACAGTATCAAAAATGAATGGACTCAAAATTTGAAAATTTGCAAGTACCTTTCTTGAGCTTTAGTTGAGTCATGTGACATGAGACACTATCCCATTAATATATTGAATACATTTTGTCTCAAAGAACACCCAAACCTATGAACACATGTTGTCAATTTATGACAATAAATATCAAACTTATGGCAGAGATATTTTTAACCTTTTACATTTATCAAAGAAGAATTTCAGCCAAATATAGAGTAAAAAAATAGTTGTTACCATGACAAACAGTGTTTCATCTATGTTAGGTCAAAACTCCAAATTTAATAAAGTTTTTCTTTTAGTATAAGAGATAGATGTTTCCCTATTGCTTTATTCTACCTTGTAATATCTATTTTAAAATATTTGTGCTTAATTTTTATAGCAGACTTTACAAAAACCATCATGGACAAATACAGCCTTTAAAATCATTCAGTATACATCTGCAAATAATATGGATCATCGCCGTTTTATAGAACTGTTGAAGAAATAGAGAGCAATGAATTTAATGATGTGCTTTTGCCAATGCTCATTGGTTGAGTCTCGGAAATTTTACAAAGAATTACTATAATATCAATTGCAATTCAAGATTTTCCTGAAGCAAAAGGAATGCTTGTTGCATATTTAATAATCAAAGACAATAAATAGCAGTCTGCATTAATATTTCTCACTAATATGTACTATATATGAATGAGCTAAATTTGAATAGTCAAAGACAGGAAAAGCTCATTTGTAACCTAACCAGCCAAGCATAAGAATTTATGTTGAAGACACTTCTCCCAAGAAGACATACAAATGGCTAACAAATATGTGAAAAGATGCTCATCATCACTATCTATTAGAGAAATGCAAATCAAAATCACAATGAGATACCATCTCACACCTGTTAGAATAGCTATAATCAACAGGACAAGTAATAACAAATGTTAGAGAGGATGTGGAGAAAAAGGAACTCTCATACACTGCTGATGGGACTGTAGATTGGTACAGCCACTATGGAAAACAGTATGGAGGTTCTTCAAAAGTCTAAGAGTTGATCTACCATATGATCCAGCAACCCCTCTACTGGCTATTTACCCCAAAGACTTGAAAACCCATAACCAAAAAGATATTTGCACACCGATGTTCATAGCAGCATTATTCACGGTGGCCAGAACATGGAAGCAAACAAAGTGTCCTATGATAGATGATTGTCTAAAGAAGCTGTGGTACATATATACAATGGAATATTACTCAACCATTAGAAGAGATGAAATGCTGCCATTTGCGACAACAAATGGATGGACCTTGAGATAATCATGCTAAGCGAAATAAGCTACACAGAAAAGGTTGAAAATCACATGATATCACTTATATGTGGGATATAAACCTAAAAGCAACAAATAAACAGGACAGAGACTCAAG